TACCATGAGGTGGGACCTACCATGAGGTGGCCTCTAAGCACCAAGGGGACGATCTCAGTCTCCGGCGGGGAGTAGCCGTAATCGTCGCAGGGCAGGTCCCCCCTCTTCCTCCTGCTGTGCGAGAGCCCGTTCTGCCCGTAGTTCTTGGGGCAGAACACCCGGTACAGGCAGAAGAGCAGGAGGACCAGGATAATGCCCGAGGCCAGACCCAGAGCAGCCACTCTGGTGGGAGAGACAGACAGACACAAAGACAAAAGGCAGGTGAGATACAGGACCCAACTCCTAGTCCACGGCTGGAGTTCGAGTAATACCATGAAAGCCTTGCCCAGGCGGCTGGTCTCAATTTTTTAGCTGAGAAAAAATTCCAAGAAGCTACAGTGACTCCTGGAAAATGAAAGGTTTTTTTTTTTTTTAAATGAAAAAAAATTCCAAGAAGCTACAGTGACTCCTGGAAAATTAAAGGTTTTTTTTTTTTTTAAATGGGAAATGGCAATTTCAACAAGATTTTCAGATTTTTCAAGAAGAAAAGCACCCAGTAACTAAGACAGTAAGAAAAACCCCAGATGGGGATGGTATAAAGGGCGTTCAGCACAGCCAGAGGAGAAGGGGGGATTCGGTCGGCAAGCTGCGAGCCCGCCCTCGCGGTAGGAAAGCAAGGTTTGATTTTTTTTTTTTTTAAATGGGAAATGGCAATTTCAACAAGATTTTCAGATTTTTCAAGAAGAAAAGCACCCAGTAACTAAGACAGTAAGAAAAACCCCAGATGGGGATGGTATAAAGGGCGTTCAGCACAGCCAGAGGAGAAGGGGGGATTCGGTCGGCAAGCTGCGAGCCCGCCCTCGCGGTAGGAAAGCAAGGTTTGAGCCAACCCCCAAGGAAGCATCGCTGAATCCCGGCGTTTCTTCCCAAAGACGAACTCCCGCCCCCGTCACCCAGTGCCAAACCCCGTAAGGCACCGCGTGCGCTGACGGCCCGGGCTGCTCCCGCCATCCCCTGCTGAGGAAAACAGGGCCGGGAGAGACCGATGCAACGCTGCCCCGGCTGGGCCAGGGCGCCCTGAGCCCTGCAGGAGTTCGCTCCGCAGCTTTATGACTATTTTTTGGTCTCCCACCAGGAGAGAGGCCAAAGAGCTGCCCGTGTCTCCCAGGGAGTTAAGGCGCGGACGAAAGGAGTCTCTTACTTGTAAAGGGTGACGTCCTGGTGCCCTTGCAGCCTGGGGGAGGCTCGCTCAGGCTGAGCTTCGGCATCCAGCTTCCCACCGCTTGCCGGTAAGAAGGGGTGGTAGCGGTTGGCCTCCTGGGGATGCCGCACTTCTAAGGCCTCTTGTGGGTTCAGGTACAGCGTGACGGGGATGGCTGGGAGGATGCTGATGTACCTGAAGGAAAGCGAAGATGCGAATAGCTGAGGGTCAGCCGACACAGGAGGACACCAACACCCTAGTCGGTCACCTGGCTCATCTCCTCACGCGCAGCCTTGGCTGCAGGTCTCAGAACCTGCTTCCAGCCCCGCAGTTTCAGGTATTCCCAACTAAAGATTTCCTTTGAAACGCTCTTCTCTAAAGGTATTTCCCAGGTCTGGACCCTTAACTCTGCGGGAGAGGTGAAGAGCCAACAGTGGCACGAACTACCGATGAGATCAGCTGGATCACACACATTCAGGTGAGGATATAACCAACTGGTCCAGTTTCCTGTACCCTGCAGGCCAGAAGGTCTCACCAAGAGGTTTCTTCAGCTCAGACATCCCTACTCCTCACGTGTACCGTCCCCATCGCTTACAGACGATCAAATATTGTTTTACAAAATTCCGAACGTCGCCTCCAGGGTGAAGGAAGACCACAGGCGAGTAAAACACCCGAGAGCACAGGGTGAAACACAACCCTCGTCCTCAGACAAGCAGCCCCGCAGAGTTTGGGCCCTCCCCACCACACGGGAGGGCCTGTTTAATGCTCTCCTGAAGACACCCTCGGAGTAAGCCAGGCGGGACACGAAGTTCCTAACTGAGGAGGACGAAGGGCAGAGGAAGCAGAAACGCCCGGGGTCAATTGCACAAGGCAACGCGCCCGCGGCACCCGACGCCAGCCCACTTGCCTTTTGGCCAGGGTGATGTTGTAGTAGCTGAAGAGGGACGGCCAGTGTCTGAAGGAAAGCTTCCTCCAAATCTCCTCATCCTCTGCCCCCCAGGTAACCTCTGCTTCAGCTCCAAGCTCCGCCTGGCCGTTCCCTTTGCCCTCGGGTCCCTGGGCCCAAGCGTGCTGGTTCGGCTCCAGCCTGCTCAGGGACTCCAGCCCCGGCTTCTGCTCCCGCTGCTGCGTCTGGTTTTCCGACAGCTGCAGAGGGTCCGACGGGAAGACTGAGAGATCAATCTTGGGGTCCCCAGCAGGTAGGACCCCTCCAGGAACAGGCATCGGAGGCAGACCTGCTTCACCCAAAGGGCTTTGTTCGGTGACCTGCGACGTGAGGTAGGTGCGGAGACCGGCAGGATCCGTGTAAACCAGGATTCCGATCCAGATCACCGTCCCGGCCTACACCCGATGAGCAGAGAGACAAACCCCTTCAGCGCGTGGCCTCCCCGCTCCGCCCCCAGCGCCTCGCCCGCTGCCTGAGCCGACCAACACCGTCCCAACCCCGGGTTCGCCCTGCCCTCGCTGACTCCCGGCAGGCACTTAGCCCCTGAGGGGATGGGGAGAGGTCGCCCAGCACGCACGAGAACCGAACCCTACTTTTCCGTGAGCCCCCCAGCTCCGCCTGGCGGGGGGAACCCCACTGCTCCCACCCAAGGGCACGGGAGGGAAGAGACTCCTTGCTGGCGGCTGGGCCCAGCGCGTCTGCCACCCTCTGATGGGGCTGGAAAGGGCTTCGCTCGGGGTTCTGGTTCATGAACTCCGCCAGAGCGACCGCAGCAGCCACAGTTCACAGGCTGACGTCTCGATTTAACCGCCAGCAACGCCGGTCAACAGCGACAGGCTGGGCTGCGGTCTACGGAGCCGAGGAACACACACACCCCTCCGCTTCCACGGCAGGCATCCACAACCGGGATGGGAGGACAACCTCGGGGCAGCGACTGGTGTAACCACTGCCGTTACACCTGCACAAGGAAAAGCCTTTGTCTTCCCTGTAGCAAAATATCTCCAGGCCTTTAGTCTGCATAATCTGCAGCAGGAAAACAGGATTTCTGCTCTGTAAAAATCTCCCCTCTCCCCTCACACGGTCCTCGACAATCAAAGCAGATTTTTGTCTCAAAGCAAATATCAGAAAATCACCCGCTGCCACCCAAACATCACGCAAACAGCGGAGCCCCGGAGCCAAGGCGTGCAGAGCGACGCTCAGGGAGGTACTTCTCCAACTGTGTCTACCACGGGGCAGCGTAAATCTTGCAGGGGAACAAGGGTGCGTGGGAATGTTGGGCTCTTCCCCGCCCTGGAAGCCTGTTTGGGTGGGTTAGGGTCCAGCGGGAGAAGGGGCACCAGAGAACACGGGACATACCATGATGAGTCTCTGGGCCAGCCGCGTCCTGGCGAAGAAGTAAATGACCCGCAGCCTCTTGGGCAGGCGCAGGTTCCTGAAGGACGACGGCTGCAGGGTGATGGTGTGGGGGGTGGCGGGCCGCATGGCCGGCTGGCGCTCGTAGCGCTGCGAGCGGCTGGCGGGCTTCGCCGGGGGCAGGCAGGCTTCCGCC